ATCCACACAAATGACTTTCCTACATCCAACTTTCCAACCTTCCTTCACACCATCAAAACAAGTAAACAATCTCTTAAATACTGGGGTAGATGTGTTTTTTTAAGGAGCAACAACCAACTCCACTACACTTTCAGGGCTAGCCAGTTGCACTGCCTTTATGTACCTTTCAACCTTCATGTAATGCTCCTTCATGGAGCCATGAAGCATCCTATGTGCATGGTACTTGACCTTGTAAGCAAAGTTTGGGGTAACAATTACTCTGTAAGCTCTTCTTACAGTTTCTACTATCTCCTTTGCAGGCCAATGTGGCCTTGCTTTGAACACATCAAGAAGCTGCCTTGCAACCCAAGTGGATTTCAGTTGCCTATTTTTGTTCATATTTCTATGGCAGGTATGGGAATCTACTACTCTCTTCACTATCCAAGTTGCTTCCCTAGTATGCAGAGAGCAGTACAGGTAGAAAGGACAATTTGCAACACATTTGACTCCTAACCTATGTTTGCCTTTGTTGCTTATGACATATCTGACATCTCTCCCTTGTAGCACAGCATACTTACTAACAACATCCTTAAAATCTGTCCTGTTAGCAAACCTCTGCCCCACTCTCCATGTAAACTTACTGAAATCTGTGTCCCCCTTGATTAACTCCCCCTTTACAACCTTGTTGGGTTCAGCATACTCATCATCACTTCCAGTTGGTGTGTGAATGTCATCATCATCTAAATCAGAATTACCACCAGGTTCTGATGTTGTGGGTACAGAACTAGGTTTCTCTCCAAGATTTCCCTCACTTGCTTCCTTTTGCAACTGTACTGCTACTTCAAATAACTTAGAGTTACAAGATTTAACTCTTTCCCTTGCTTCTCTCAGCTCATCATCACTCTCATCAGATTCAGGAGCAATGAAGTCAGTCCCCTCAAGTTCATCAGTTGGCTCTACTTCAAGATCTAAGCTACCAAAATCAAATTCACCCTCCTTTTCTTTGTCTCTTCCAATATCTTCCCCTAAATCATTATCATCTTCCCCTAAATTAATCTCTGGTACATAAGTTGGATCTTCCCCATCACTTGACTCAAAACCACTCAACAACTCAATCCACCTCAAAGGGCTATCTCCTCTATTGTCCTCCCAATCATAATCATCAACAAAGTTTGAGTCAGCATTTGGCAAATCAGTAGTGGAGACAAACTCTATGTTAGGAAACTGAGAGAGGTTAAGAGAAAGGTTCTGAGAGAGATTCTCCCCTATTGGAACTTCAGAAGGGGGTTTTAAGGGGGGTGCAACTTGTTTGTCACTGAGATTTGGTTCTAAGGGTTTTAATGTGGTAGTTGGGTCAGTCAAATGTTGATAAGAAAGAGAGTATGGTGCTTTTTTGCATGTGGTTGAATCTGTTTTTGATGATGTGGCAGCATCTTTATCTTTATGTTTTCTAGGGCTCATCCTGAGGGGTGTGAGAAGCTTTGTTTGTGGTCCCTTCTGTGGGGTCATTTTTTTCCTCTTGTTGACTTTGGCTGGGGGGTTTCATGTACTTTATCTGTAATTTGGGATGGGGTAGATTTTGGTAAAGATTCTCCATCTTTCCCAACTCCCTCCTCCCTTTGAATAGGATTGCACACTACATTCTCATTGTGCAAGAAATACACATCAACATGCCTATATTCATTTGCAATTTTAATCAACTCCACCACTTCTTCATCCCCCTCTATTTTCCTCAAACCATTCTCCAAACTTAAACCAGAAACTAGGTAATAAAACCCATCCACAGTAATGTACCCACACTGATTAGCAAATTCGAATAACTCCCAGTAACACAACAAATCTGTATCTACCTTGATATTCCTACCCTTACCACCCACATACACCAATTCCCCATTATCTTGATGCTTAAAACTACCACCATGCCAAAACCTTATTGTAACATTGTCAAAGAACGTGCTCATTGCAACCTAGAATTATACAACATATTTAGGAATAAATAAACAGGAAATTCAACCAAAATTACTAACAAATGCAACAAGATCAACAACAACTCAGCAATTAACCCCATCATGAACCCTAACCCAGAAATCAATCACAATTCAATGTTCATGCTATTCATATGAAATTCCCTAAATTCAAACACGAAAATACCACATACACTTAAATTGGATCACAGTACAGTCAAAATCAAACGCGTCTAACTCACAGTTCAACAATCAATGCACCACATTGCAATTCGACATTGTTTCAATACAAGAAGAGGAAAAAATCGTACCTTTTTTGCGCAAATAAAGAAGCCAAGCTTGCCACTTTCGTACTGCAATCAACTCTACCTTCCTTATCAAGCAAAAATGGGCGATTAATGGCAGTCAATTATGATGATGAAATGTGGTTGAATGTCTACTTCAATGGAGTAACAGAGAAGTGAAATGAAAGAGGAGAGAGACTGTGAGAGGGAGGGAAATTAAATTAAAGAGGGAAAGAGGAGGTAGTTAGGATTAATTACTGCCACGTAGGCTTCTTTAGGGGGGAATACAAGTCAAGCATTGACTTCCACCTACACCAAATTATTAGCCGGTTACCAGTAAACCGTTCCATTATTGGAAGAGTGGTGTCAAAGGTGGTTTTATTTTGAAATAAATCAAAGGTGGTTCCATTATTGGAAGATGAGTGAAAGGTGGTATTATTTTTGGCAAATTTTCCTTATTATTATTAGTATTATTATTTCAATTATTATAGTTTTTATTATTATTATTATTATTTATTGATGATTATTATTATTATTATTTATTACTTATTGATTATTATTATTATTATTATTATTATTGTTAATATTATTATTATTATTATTATTATTATTGTTGTTGTCGTTGTTGTAATAAGAGCTTAAAAGAATGAAATTTGGCTTTATATCATTAGGAATATCATTAGACGTAAATTAAGAGCTGAACTGAACTGAACTAAACTGAACTGAATTAAGCTGAACAGAACTGAACTGAATTTCAACGAAAGAGAACAGACCCTTACCTCATAAGTCTTACACTTAAAAAAAAATAGATAAATAAAGACCGAATGTAAATATCCTTGGAATTTCCTTTCTCGTCCCTATCTACTTTTTATAAATAAATGTCTTAAACCAATGAACTGCTAGTCTGCTACTCGTACTATACCACAATTATACCTTTACTTCTCTTAAAAAAAAAAACACTGGTTTGTTTAGAAGAAAAAGAATGGAGTTTGTAGGAGGAGAGAGAAGAAGAATGGGGTTACCAAGCGGAGCATCACTGTTTTCAACATATGCTTCACTGAGTGCAACCTTCACTTTGGTTCAACAAGCATTTTATCAGTTTGTTCCACTACTTGTACAACAATACATTTCTGACATTTTCAAACAATGGTTCTCACCAAAACAACCTCCTCCTCCAGATGTTTTTAAGCTCATCATTGAAGAAGTTGCTAATGATTTCACTAATAACCAAGTTTTTCAAGCTTGTCAGATCTACCTTTGCAACAAGCTTAGTGACTCTGCCAATGTGCTTAAGGTATTTTTTTTTTAATGGAAAAAATAGTTTCCTTAATAATAAGTCATGTTTCGGATGAAAACAATGGGGTCTTGCCGAAGGCCCGCTGAAGTGGCTGAAGACTGGTCCGGTCCAATTGATGTTGGGCCGAAGGTTTCCTGCACAACTAAAACACGTAAACTGGCCTCGGGGGTGGATCCGAGGAAGACCCCTCCGATGCCGAAGTCAAACAGTGTTTAGAGAGAGAAAGCTATGCAAGAGATTTGATGCTTGAGGCTTTGTTGTGTTGTTATCTACAAATGAATGAATTGAACACTTTATACCTTTGCCCCTGATGAGAGGAGAGCAATTGGGCCTTTAAATGGTCATGGGCTGACCATGGCAATTCGGACCAAAGGACTCTTGGTTGACTTGGCTTGATTGGAGGCTCGGGCCTTGACCTTGAAATATGAAGTCATTTAGTGACCAGGCCCAATAAGATAATTGGACCCAAATACATGACTAGGCCCAATTAGATAAATTGGACCCAAACAAGTCACATCCAAAATAAGTAGTAATATAGATCTGTAAATTCATATTAAAATGTACTCCCTTTGTTTCATAAGAAGTTTTAGGAGAATTATAAGTAAGGTACTAAAAAGTGAATTTTATACTCGTAAAGTTGTAATATTAAGTATAGTTACTTAGGGTCTGTTCTCATACGTTGAAATTCTTTCTCTTATAAAATATTCACTTCACTTCAGCTCAGTTCACTAAATGAGAACACGCCCTTAGTGGTGATTTACTTAATTGTGATTAAGAGAAAGAAATAATGAATAAAAAAAGTGTGTGTTACTGTACATGGGGTTGGTAGGGGTAAAAAAAAAATACTTATAAAGTAGTAGTGAGTTATTACCAAATAAGAAAATGTTGGATTTATTATGAAATAGATGTACAGTAAAAAAAAGTGTCGTGATTGTGATTATTATGGAACACGTGGAGTATTTAATAATTTCACTCCTTTCATCTATTCCTAACCAATACAATTACAAAAAAAAAAGGGATGGAGTAATTTTAGAACAAAACCAGAGCTTGACTAAGGAAAAACGCCCAAATACCTGCTTTTACTAAAGTCCGACACTATTTTGTGGGTATGGATACGGCTTTATTTGTAGGCCTAAACTATTGCAGTATAAAGTATAGTTGGTGAAATAGTGAGGGTTATTTTGTAATGAGCCAATTGCTAATAAATAATGTTCATGCATATATATATATATATGGTTAGTTGCAACTTAACTTTTAAACAAGTTAAGTAATTCAATCTTAGTAGCTAGCTTGGTTGAACGCCTTAATCCAATCTCAGGTCCCGTTCACTTAACCTTATTTTTGTTGAACTGATTTTTTTTTACTGAAACAAAGTTATATTTGCTGAACTTAATTTATTTTTAGTGAAGTAAAATTATTTTTGCTAAATTGAAATTATTTTTACTTAATATTATTTTTATAAGGGGGAGTGAACAAGATGTTAGTGTTGTTTAGTTTTAAACAATCTTGAAATGAAATTAATTTTGGTCCTTTTAGGTGAGCAAAGGGCACACTGAAGAGACTATGAACTTCAAGCTTGCTGAAGGAGTCACATTCTCTGAGACTTTTGAAGGAATACATCTGAAATGGATTTTTAGTTGCAAGGCTAATTCATCGGCTGATGATCAAAGTGATCCTGTTCTTGTACACGACAAACGATCAGGTCGATCACGTAGTCATCATCAAGAAAATTCCTGCTTCTCATTGATATTTGACAGAGAACATAAGAAAAAGGTTTGTACTGATTACTTGCCATATGTTGTGGAGGCATCAAAAGAAGTTGTTCGCGAGGAGAAACACTTGAAACTATTTGATGGTAATTCAGAATATTATGGTATGCCTGGTGGCTCAAGTAGCAAGCAATCAGTCAATATGGTTCATCCCTTTAAGTTTGAGAATTTGGCTATGGATCTCGAGTTGAAGAAGGCGATAATGGATGATTTAGACAGATTTGTGAGGAGAAAGGAGTTTTATAAGAGGGTAGGGAAGCCCTGGAAACGAGGCTACTTACTGTATGGTCCTCCGGGTACTGGCAAGTCGAGTCTGATAGCTGCTATGGCTAACTATCTCAAATTTGTCATCTATGATTTGCAACTGAGACGGATGCAGGACTCTAGCTTGAGACAGCTGTTGCGTGTTATACCAAGTAAAACTATTATCGTTATTGAGGATATCGATTGCACTGGAGAGCTTCCAAGACGAGAATTATACCACACTATGTATCAAGGATATGAGGACTCTCTGAAGAAGGCCATAAAGAAGCCTGAGGTTTGTTGTTTTCAGTTTCTCCTCTCTGATTTTTTTGATATATCTTACATGGTTTTTGCATGTTCAACTTGGACTTAATCTATTCATAACCCCTGTGAAACATAAATCATAATCGATTTGTTAGGATAGTTTCATGTATATGACAAAAAAAATAATGTTTTCAGCATACTTGACACAGTTGACAGTAGCCTTGTATGATTTTTTTTTTACTAACTGCTGTTTGTTACTGCAGATGTCGCTGGCTGCATTGCTGAACTTTGCTGATGGATTGTGGTCTTGTTGCGGAGATGAGAGGTTGATCATATTCACCACAAATCACAAGGAAAGGCTTGAACCAGCTTTATTACAGCCTGGTCGTATGGATATGCACATTCACATGTCCTATCTTACTATGGAGGGCTTCAAAGTCTTAGCCTATAATTATCTCCTAGTTACTGGCAACCATCCGCTGTTTGGAGAGATCAAAGGACTATTGGAAGTTGTAAATGCAACTCCTGCTGAAGTTGCCGAGGAACTTATGAGAAGTGAGGATGTTGATGCCTCTCTTCAAGGGGTCGTCGAGCTGCTAAAGAGGAAGAAAATCGAAGCAGAGGATGCTGCAAGTTTGAGACCTCAGGCTGAAACAGAGGAAATCACAGAGAAAATGGAAAATGGGAATGTCTTGCCTACAAATTAATCATTGTAGAATGTGGAGTTGTTAAAATGTGGACTTCTTATAATTCTACGTATTTTCAGTAGTTTTCCTTACCAACTAATGCAAAATTCTCTAGTGAGCTTTCTTGCTCTCTTGGGGACCAAGATCTCAAAATTTGATAATCGTGTTAGAAGCATATTTTGTGCATCTATTGTCTATGTCTTTGACAACAATCAACGCAAAAATTTCAAACAAACTATTAATTATTTCTACTTTTAAATGATACTCGTATGCAGCAAGTCCTAAAACTATGTATGGTTGAGCTATTTAGAAAACGTTGACACATTAATTAGACGAGTTTGCTTTTAGGCTCAAGGCCTTGTATAATTATATAAGAACCTTCTCCCCTTGCTCATCTAATCCATGATCCCAACCTTTCTCGAACTCTCCAAACCACATTCTCACTACTGTCAAAAGCATCATACCAGTAAAACTCTTCTATGTTTGTTTAGAAATCAAATACCTCTTATAATAACATAATATTAGACTAGTGATTATTTGACTAGCATAATATCCTAAGTATGATACAAAGTACGTAGTACTTAATCTAAATGTATGAATCTCTAATTTTATTGAAATATTATAAATTATTTTCTAACATTATATAATTATTTCTGCATTATAAATTATTTTCTAATTTTATTTATTTATTTTATAGTGGAACACACTGAATAATCAAACATCTAACTTTGGGCTTTTTTTTTTTTTTTTTTTTTTTTTTTTTTTGGTGAAGAAATGGGCTTCTTAATATTTTATTCTTACCTTTAAAAACAAAATGATCAATACAAAGATCAAACATCTATTGTTACTTGCATTAATGAGGAAATTGACCCCGTAACAATAAGATATGCCTAAATCAAAAGATTTAAAACTATATACTTCGTATGTCAAATCTACATAAATATGGCTCGAACCTTTTTTCCGAACAATACGTGTGTCATCTCTAATCTTTATTACTCCACATCAAGGTAGATAAGAATCATAAAGATACAGAAATTTGATGTGTTATAAAACATAGCATTATACAAGCATAGGTATACAACAAGCGTTTGTAGTCCAACGGTTAGGATAATTGCCTTCCAAGCAATAGACCCGGGTTCGACTCCCGGCAAACGCATCTGCCTTTTTCCTCTGCCTTTTCTTTTTATCTCAGAAGTTGAAAATAATCCATGAACAATTCCATCTATTAAGCAGGGATGTCATGGCCATGTTCATCAGGCCTGTGCAGATTGTGAAGGATGTACAACGAAGCAGACGACAGGAAAATACAGAAAGCATAACTCAGCAGATCCAAGCCGGTGGCTATTGTCACCATTTTGCTCCTTTCAAACATCTTTACAATGAGAATCATCACAATAACGTGTCCAACTTTTGTTTTCAGCTCATCAAGGGAGCTAATTTTCATCCACTGAGGTCTCTCCTGAAATTTAAATTGTAGAAAGCATTGTAAGTTCAGCCATGCTTATGAACAGCAATGAAGAAAGATGCAAAAATGTTTTTGTAAGAAGCAGCTCCATCTAATCAATCACATGAGTACATGATAAAGGAATTTGAGAGATGATCAATTCATTTCGAGGCATATATACATGCTCTAGATGTATTAAGCTGTACTCCCCTTGTTCCAGAGTTCACATATTGTCACCATTTTGAGCCAAACCTACTCATCTATTCATTTTGAGGCATACATATATGCTTTAGATGTACTCATCTATTCATTTTGAGGCATACATATATGCTTTAGATGTATTAAGCTGTACTCCCCTTGTCCTACAGTTCACATATCTTAGACTCGAGAGCCACACATACTCATCTATATATCCCCCCTCCGATCCCCCCTTACTTATTTAGCTCCCTCCATGATCTTCCTTCTATATAAGCTTAGCTTAGCTCTGGAACAAAGTAGTATATATATGTTTCCTTGCATTAGTCCACCCTAGTTACATTTTAAGTTATTTGAAAAGAAAACAAAAGGAATAGGAGTTTTCAATTTGCAATCACCTTCAGAGCGAACATTCCAAACAAAGATGAGCCATTCAGAGCCCGATCAGCATCAGGAGGCAGATCGGAAGAGGAATTACTGATGAATAATCCATATAAACCCATAGCAAACACCAACATAACAGTTCCAGCTAGATAGACATCTGCATACCAAGAACGTCAAGAAATTAAAAATAATAGAATCTTAATATATGATCTTAAGGCCGACAATAGCCTGCAGGACAATAAACAGGAAAGAAGAAATAAGAAATAAGTTCTTATTAAGAAGAGCAGTAGTATACAGGGGAAAAAAATCTCTCACCAATAGCTTCAACCAATCGAAGAACCATATTTCCAGTGTGAACTCCTTTAAGACAGGATGACCAATACACTTTATATGCTTCCCAAACATAAACACAACCCTGCAGACATCAAATGTACTCTATGTTTCATTCATTATTTCGTCGAATGAGTTCATCCACCATAAAGATTTTACATGATCCTAAAAGTGTATAAGAAAGGTAGAAAGAAAATTACATTCATGAAACATAGGACTGAACCAGCTAGTGATCCTGCAATAGCAAGAAGTGCCAAGAATCGGAAATCGAATATAACCTGCACCAAAAAAAAAAAAAGCAAGGATATAACTCATACAACATATAGATCAAATAATGAACCCAAAAAATGGTAATATAGCATTATCAGGGCATAAACAATTTTCACGGTTACATTACCAAAGTTGTCAAATTATGTTGCTAGGGTAGACAAAAGACTTAAACCCCTTAAACATGATTTGTATAGTGATCGAACAAGAAAATATCAGGCGATACGAGCTCGAAAACTCGAGTTTAAAGCTCCTTAATTAAGAATAATAAGATCAGTCCAATTATTAGCTTAATCAATAAACTTCCCTTATAATCCAAATCAAGTCTCACTTCCACTATCAGATTCACCAAAATAACACTATTTTCAGAATCCCCAGATAATTAAACAACAAAAACATAGAAATTAAAATCAACCCAATACTTAAGAAATCCTAATATGATCAAAAGATTTACCCTTTCGACAGTAGACTCAGCGGATTGAACAAATTTAACAAAAGGGTTTCCATTAGAGTTAACAATAGAAGAGTTACTAAGTTTAGGGTTTTGTAAATTGGGGGAATTGCCGACAGTAGATTCACTAGGAGATGGAGGCGAAGCTGGAGAAGTTGAGCTCAGCGAAACGATTCGAGAACGATAGAAATTACCGAAACGTTTCGTAATTTTAATTGGGTATTGAGTTTTTTTAATTATGGGTGTTGAGAATTTCGGATGTAAAGAAGTTGATGAAGTGATTACTGCAAAACCCATTTCAATTTAATTTTGTTTTTGGATTTGGGGATGAATTTGAAGAAGACAGAAAAATGAAGAAATATCAAAATAAATAAATACATGAATAATTGAAGAAGAAAAAATATTTATAAATTGCTAAAAATGGAAGATGTTGTGGGGTCTACCGAATCTGGAAGTTAGTGTTGGCGGGAAGTGTTAAGACGTACCGTTGGAGAAGATAAGTATGCAATCTCAATAATGGCGGGGTGAATTAATTGTAGCCAATTATTTATATTGACGATCTTATTTTATAAAAGGAAAATTGTAACCAACCAATTATTATGCATGATTTACATATTTTACATAACATTATACCAGATTTTGATTTTTTTTTTGGACAAAGTTTTGGCTGCTCTTTGAGTACAAGAAAATGTTGTATTATTCACAACTCAATGTAAGTTGGCGAAATTTGGCTTTTTTGAGGGACTTGTATTGTAGTGATATGAAATAATTGATGGATTAACGGGTTGGTTTTTCATTCGTTACTTGATATATTATCTTAAATAAAATGTATTTTAATTGTTTTATTACTAAATCTAGAACTTTATATAAATTTTTTCTAAGAGTTATATAGTACCTCCGTTCCCCAAAAGTTCGACTCACTTATTGTTCATCTGGTTAAAATATAATACCTTTGACCACATATAATCAAAATAAACAAGTTTGATCTTATTGGATTTCCCTTATGATAAAATTTTCAAATATTAACTTTTTAAATATTTTACTTATACACAACCGAAGTTATTAATGGTCAAAGATGTTCATTGGAAACCGTGCAAATGCAAAGAGTGTATATTTCTCTTAAACGAAAGGGTATATGTAAAGCTCCATAGAAAACTAAATGATGTTTTTGTTGGATTATACTCCCTCCGTTTTTGAATAACTGCTCCATTTCTCTTTTTTGCACTATTCATTTATCCTATTTTGACTAACGTTTGTGATTTATACATAAGAAAATATATAATCTTGTGGGTACTTGTTGGAATCATCTCAATGAGTAGATTATTAATTTTCAATTGTTAGAATTTATACTTATTGATTATTAAAGATATTAGTGATCAAATATTAGCATCGACATGCGTGTCCAAGAGAAATGGAGCAAATATTTAAAAACGGAGGGAGTACATACATTATATGAAGTCCCGTGTTAATTAATGACTTAATTTTAAAATGAAGTTATCTCAAAATTCAAATATAACTCATCAAAATTATTACTTGTACAAAAATAAATATTTACATCGAAATATATACGTAGTATATAAGAAAGTCACCATCCGATTTTTTTTTTATTTATTTTTTTTTCCAAATGGAACGCTATCTATTTTTCTGAGCTTGCTATTTTTCTAGATGATATTCTGTACTTATGTAGTGGCTTTGGTTATGTTGAGTGGTCGCATGTCAAAAGAGGTGGCAATATTGTTGCTCATCAATCACCATCTTGCTCAATTAGTGTCGTTCGATGTTGAACAAGTTTGGGTCAACCATTGTCCTTGCGAGATTTCTTCATATTTATTTTTGGACACTTTGTCTCTTGATTAATATATTTAGCTCGACGCTTTCACTTAAAAAAAAAACACTATCTTGTTGAGTTTACATGAAATTATTTAGGAATGTAACATAAATTGTTGCTCGATTACTTTTGCGATAATTATCTTAGGTTTGACTTGTGATTTATGGGTATGGACTTCGGAGTACATATGACTTTCCTATAGAACTGCTAAGCAAGTTGGCATTTACATAGTCATAGTTAGGGGTGACAATTCGGGTCAGCGGGTCGGGTTCGGGCCAGATTTTGGGTCAATTTCAGTTGTGCTTAAAAACTATCAAAAATAGTTTAAAACTTAATATTATAATGATATATATATATATATATATATATATATATATATATATATATATATATATATATATATATATATGACATTTTGGTCAAATCGGGTCGAATTTGGGTTGTTCGGGTTCGGATCGGGTCGGGTTTCTCTCAGTAACTTCAGGTCGAGTTATCGGGTCGGATCAGGGATTGCCATCCCTAGTCATAGTGTCATACTTCTAATTTCATTCATACGAAGTACAGTACAAATCATTCCAAGTATTTCTTATTCCCTTCAATTTTTTTGAAAAAATAATCAAAATATGAAGAATAAAAATAATAGGAAGAGCATTAATATATACTTGTATATATTTTTTTCTTTTCCAATTAACACCACTTGTCGCCGAAATCGGCTCCAAAAATTCCCCAATCCCCACTTCAATTGAATAGAGATCACATATATTAGTCATGAAAATCAACTGGTAATTTCACACTGCAAATTTGCCATTTTATCTTTGCATAATTGCTTCCTTTCTTCTTCCCTGAGAAATTCTGTGCTACCAGAAAATAAAAATGGCAGAAGCTGTATTATTCAACATTGCCCAGCAACTACTGAACAACATGAGTTCAGCAGCCATTGAAGAAGCAGCAACAGCTTGGGGGTACAAAACCCAGCTTGCCAAACTCAACAACACAATCAACACCATCAAAGATGTGCTCTTAGATGCAGAACAAAGACAACCCAACAGCCATGCTATTCAAGGTTGGCTTCAACGGCTTCGTGTCGCGGTGTATGATGCAGATGACCCGTTCGACGAAATTACCAGCTTAAATACCCGAAAAGAGGCATGTCTCTTCTTCTCTAAAATTAATCAGCTTCATGTTGGTAGTATAATGGGTAGAAAAATTAATAATATGAGGGAAATTTTAGATGGTATTGCAAATGATGGTGGGAATTTTGGGTTTAGATTGCTAGTTGATGAGGAGCGAGTGATGGGTAGGAGAAAACGTGAGCAGAGTTATTCTTTTGGATGCGAGGAGGATATTGTAGGAAGGGATAGTGATAAAGTTGCAATCTTGGAAATGTTGTTGAATGATGATGTTGAAGAGAGTGTTTATGTTATTCCTGTTGTTGGGATTGGAGGACTTGGGAAGACTACTTTGGCTCAATTGGTGTATAATGATGAGAAAGTCGAAAGTCATTTCGAGCTTCAATTGTGGGTTTGTGTGTCTGATGTCTTTGATATAAGAGTTATTGTGGAGAAGATTATAACTTCTGCTACTTGTGTGAAGCCTTGTGATTTAGACATGGAGCAACTGCAACGACAACTTAGGAATGTCATTGGTGGGAAGAGGTATTTGCTTGTTCTGGATGATGTGTGGAATGAGGATCGAGAAGAATGGCTTAAGTTGAGAGCATTGTTGTTTTGTGGAGGACCTGGAAGTAAGGTTTTGGTGACTACGCGATCTAGGCAGGTGGCCGGGATCATGGCAACCGGCTCGTGTTATGACTTAAGACATCTATCAGAAGCTGAATCTTGGTTCCTGTTTTGTAAGATGGCATTTGAATCTGGTCAAGAGGATAAAGATCTAAAGCTGGTTGAATTAGGGAAGCAAATTGTAAAGAAGTGTGCCAACGTTCCACTTGCTATAAGAACTGTTGGGGGGCTTTTATATGCCAGGGATGAGAGAAGGTGGTTAGCTTTTAAGGATAATGAGTTAGCTAAGATAAGAGAAACTGAAAATAGCATCATGCCTATTTTGAAGCTTAGTTATAATCATCTTCAACCATCACTTAAGCATTGCTTTGCGTATTGTGCTTTGTTCCCCAAAGACTATGTATTAGAGAAGGATAGACTGATTAGTCTCTGGATTGCCGAAGGATTTGTTGTACCGTCGTGTGAAAGACAGAGTTTGGAAGATGCTGGAGAGGAGTGTTTCACGGATTTGGTGCAGAAATGCTTCTTTCAAGATTTAACAAAAGATGCACTAGGAGATATCAAGAGTTGCAAAATTCATGACCTGATGCATGATTTAGCCCTAAAAGAGGCAGGAGGAGAGAGTGTTATCTTTACCTCTGATGTGAGGAATGTAAGTGAAAATACTCATCATCTCTCTGCTGGGTTTAATTTGACATCGTTATGGGAAATTCCAAGTTGTTTCCTAGAATTGAATCGCCTACGCACCTTTCTATTACCAGAACAAGCAACACTCGGGACAAGGATTAGGAAGTCAGTTTCTGAGCAATTAACTTCAAACTTTAGACGCTTGCGAGTGTTGGATCTACATGGGCTAGGGATTGAAAATCTGTCAAACTCTATAGGGGATCTAATTCATTTAAGGTACTTGGATATATCCTTCAATTCGCACATCAAAGCACTTCCGAATTCTGTTAGTCGCTTGCAGAACTTACAGGTGTTGATACTTTCCAAGTGCTATAGGCTGAGGAAGTTGCCCACAGATATCAAAAGGCTAGTCAATCTTAGGTGCCTTGATCTTGATGATTGTGATGCATTGACTCATATGCCAGCTGGAATGGGACGATTAACTGCTCTCCGTAAGCTTAATAAGTTTGTAGTAGGCAATAACTCTGGTGCTTTTAATCTTAAAGGATGTGCTCAGCTAAGAGATTTGAGTTCTCTCAACAATATCTCAGGAGATTTGCAGATTCTTCTTCAGGGAAAATGGAAATATGCTCTTTCAGAAGCCAAGGAAGCAAATCTGTGTAACAAATTGCATCTTTCGGAGTTGGTAATAGATTTTTTTGAGGCAAACTGCATGTACCATGAACCATTGTTTGAAGGCCTCCAACCAAATTCAAATATCAAGAGTCTAGCTATCACATATTATGCAGGTCAGAGTTTTCCAAGTTGGGCTAGGTTGGATAAGCTTAACACCTTCCTACCAAATCTCGTAGATATTAATATAAGAAATTGTAATAGATGCAAATGTCTCCCGTCTTTCAGTCAACTCCTTTGTCTTAAACGTTTACATATTACCTATGCCCACAGTGTAGAGTACATGGATAATGCAGGGCTGCATTTATCACCCTCAGTGTTTTTCCCATCCCTTGAAGAACTAATTCTTGATCGAATGGGTAATTTAAGGGGATGGTGGAGGCAAGCTGATGGAAACCATGATGTTATTGATGTTACAACAGCATCTTATCAGCAAGATATTGAAGCATTGCCATGTTTTCCTCGACTGTCAAAGCTACAGCTACGTAACTGTGCTAAGTTGAGAATGATGCCTCTGTTCCCTCATGTTGAAGAACTTAAGTTGGTGAATGTTGATGAGGACTTGTCATTAAGGAAAGCGGTTGAGAATTTTACTGCAGCACCTCGTTCATTGTTATCATCAAGACTGAAAACTCTGGAGATAGACAACATAGATCATTTTATATCTCTACCAAAGGAGCATCTTAAGAATCTCTCTACTTTGGGTCTGTGGCAGTGTTCTAAGCTCGTGGATTTGTCAGGACTTGGAGAAGGCTTAAGAAATCTACCTTCTCTTAGTACTCTTACATTCTTCCACTGTGATCAGTTGACATCTCTATGTGGAGGTTTACAACATCTCACATCTCTTCAGGAGTTGCTGATTCGAAAATGCAAGGAGCTTATCATGCTAGATGAAGAGGAAGAGAATGGCATGCCATGGAAAGCTCTCCGGATGCTTCGTTGTCTGAGACTTCGATACATCCCAAAGATGGTTGCTCTTCCGCAGGGCCTTCAACATGTGACATCTCTTCGGTTCCTAGAGATTGTTGGTTGTGATGGTTTAACAACACTTCCGGATTGGATTAGCTGCCTCTCATTGCTTCAATGGCTCAGCATTAGAGAATGCTCTAAATTAATGGAGTTGCCAGAAGGGTTCGTACATCTTAGCAAGTTAAAGGAGCTTGAGATCACTGCATGTCCAAGACTGACCAGAAGATGCCGAAGGCCCCAAGGTGAGGATTGGCTTAAGATTCAACATATTCCCAGTATTATAGTCAGGGAGAGTCATCGGGACAATGCTTGATTTTGCAGGATAAAACTCACCAAACATAACAATATTCCTCACAAAAAAATTACTGTTCCAATTTGTAGTTTAACTTTGCTTTGTTTGCATTAAGTATTAACGAAATTACCAGCTTAACTACCCAAACAGAGGCGTGCCTTTTATTCTTTAAAATCAATCAGCTTCATGTTGGTAGTACAACGGCTAGAAAAATCAATAATGTAAGGGAAATATTAGATGATCTTGCAAATGAGGGGAGGGGGGGATTTTGGGTTTAGATTGCAAGTTGATGAAGATCATATAACGGGTAGAAGAAAACTTGAGCAGAGCTATTCTTTTGTACGTATGTTGATAAAGTTGCAATCTTGTTATTGAATGATAATGTTGAACAGAAAGAGAATGACATGCCATGGATTAGCTGCTTCTCTTTGTTTTAATGGCTTAGCATGCATTAGAGAATGCTCAAAATTAGTGGAGTTGCCCGAAGGCTTCATAGTTTCATACAAACGTAACAAGGTTACGTAGACATATAGTGGCACAATTAATTTTTCAACAGAGGGAGTACATCCCAAGTCTTTTAAGTTTATCTCTTTTTTTTTTTTTTTTTTTTTTTTTTTTTTTTTTTTTTTTTTTGCAAATGCCCAAAGAATAAGATCTTTTTTAGAGTTGCAAATTGTTATGGAACAAAACTTTGTCGGGGTGTTGAAGTAAAGTAATTGAGTGTGAAAGACTTTATTTCAAGTGAAGAGCGAAAGTACACAGTTGCCCTGACAGAATTCTTTTGATCTAACTCATGTGTTTCTTATAATCATTTGCTAACCCAAAAAGTTATTCTGACATTTACAATGGGAGGAGTATTTTCCTCACGATCTAGCGGAAGATTCAGTACAAGGGGTAGATTTTCTACTACTCCCGCCCCTCATTATGGTGGTACGTTCAAATTTCTGTTCTTGCTCTCTCTCTCTCTAAAAAAAAACAAATTTTAGTGTTAGAAATTTGAATTATATAGAGTTTTGCAGTGTATAGGCGGCCAAGATGGAGAGTGGAAAACAAATTGAAGGAGTTAGGCTGGTATTTACCATTGTACAAAGCTGCCCTTAGAGGGAGATGGAAAGATGCAAGAAAAATCATAGATGAAGACCCAGAAGCATTGACAGCTAAAATCAGTATTGCATCAGAAACTGCACTTCACATTGCAGTTGGTACTGGAACTGATATACCCTTTGTCGAAAAATTGGTAAAGAATATGTCACCTGAGGAGTTGGCACTTACTGATCAAAATGGTGAGACTGCTCTTTCTGTTGCTGCTATTGTGGGCAACCTTGAGGCTGCCAAGCTATTGGTGAGTAAAAACCCCGATTTGCCAAATATTGCGAGCAAATCAGGTTTCCCCCTCCACAGGGCTGCTCAGTATGGTCATAAGTTGATGATCTCATATTTATGGGATTATACTAAACAGGATATGGAGCCTAGTCCATTTTCTGGTGAATATGGGGCTAAGCTCTTGATTTACCTTATTCATGCTGAGTTTTATGGTGAGTTGTTGTATACTTCTTTGATATACCTTATTCATGTGAAATTTACCTTAATTGATACTTTATTTGGCACAATTGGTCAACATATTGCTGGTTTTACATGGTTAAAAGCCTTTTTAAAATCTTATTTGTTTCACTTGATGATTCTTCATTTTGGTCTCATTTATCTCATATTTTATCTCTTAAGATCATGTGGTTCATAATATATAATACAAGTATGAAGTATATGCTTACACTTAGAGTTGCTTTCGCACCAATAACATTGTCTAATATATAGTCAAGGAAATTGTAATCCTATTGTTACTTTATTTTTATTTATAAATTATCAAAAAGCGGAATAACCCTTTACATGTTTCACTTTTACTTTTGCTGATGAGTACAATTAGATTATATAATTAAACAAGATGAGAATCAGGAGATGGTAGGGCGGCTTGTACTTCACCTTTCCCGGCCTTAGGCCTTAGGGGACCGACTTGCTACCTAAAAATATCTCAAAAGCGTACTCACCCATCTACTATAAGGACTGTAATTCAGATTTTAGACCAGCAAGGTTTTTTTCTGTAACATAGTCTATCACAAATTCACAATTGAATGGTTTATTTGCATACTCCCTCTGTTTCCTTTTGATGTATTTAATTACAATTGACTTTGTTTCTAGAAGAGGTGAGTAAATGTAAATAAATAGGGATTATGTAAGAATGAAATTACAATGGTGGGGTAAGGGATGAAGTACAATAGTAAAATATACTCCGTATATATGATTCTTTTGATTATTGACTTCACGTTTATAACTTTTTATCCTGGTCTTTGGACAGGTTTAGCTCTCAAGCTGTTTGAATTGAACCCAAACTTGGCAACCATGGAACTAAATGAGGTCGGTTCTCCACTAAGTGTACTAGCTGAGAAGCCTAACGCCTTTCCAAGTGGAAGTGACTTCAAGTTTTGGCCACAAGCTCTAAATCCTTGTAAGTTCACTGCCACCACATGCTCCTCTGCCCCCTCAAATCTCACAAGGTAGCCTTAACAGCCAACTTCAAGATGGCATGCTTTTGAAACTAATTGTTATCATGAAGTTTGTGATCTTTAAACAAGGCAAAAAAAATTTGAATTATCTTGATATGTGTTTATGGTAAAATTGCTACATTGCTACATGGATTACAGATGTGCAAATTGTATAGGTAACATTTTTGTATTATAGTGTATATGCTGAATTGCTGCACTCTGCAATTTTGATGGGGTACGATCTCTTTCTTTGTTCTGATGTTTTCTCACGTCTTCATGTTATTGATCCATTTCTTGTAATTGTAGTTAGTTTACTAAAGTGCTGAAAAGAACATGGAACTTTTGAGTAATTTTGGTGAAGGTGTTATCCCAATATCCTATAAAAATTATGAGAGGGAATCATGTCTTTTGATTACAGAAGTTTATTCTAACATTTGCAGCCTATACATAGTGATGTTTTAAGGGGATGTTGGGACTCTGTTGAAACTTACCTTTTAATGAAAGTAAATAAAATTAAAAAATCTATAATGGCTCTGATTTTCTCGTGTGATTTCTTATCACATTGGACATTTTAATTGCAGTTTCATACTGGAACTATGTTAGAAATACAAAAATGAGGCATCATCAAGCAATCAAACTTGTCAAATGCTTTTGTGAGGAAATCATGGAGTTGGATGATGCTAAAGCATTCTCAATGCTTCAAGAACCACTCCATCTAGCAGCTAAGTTAGGAATTCATGAGATTATAGAGGAAATTGTTGTGACATTTCCTCCTGCAATATGGTCTTCCAATGAAGAAAATCACAATGTATTTCAGCTAGCAGTTACATATCGTTGAGAAAATGTCTTTAACCTCATATATCAAATGAGCGAGTACAGACATTTAGTAACTAGGTATATAGATCCATATGGAAACAACATATTGCATTTGGCTGGAAGATTACCACCTTCAGACCGCCTTAATCTTGTATCTGGTGCAGCTTTACAGATGCAACGTGAGCTACAATGGTTTAAGGTGTTAAGCTGCTTAACCTAGTTACCTGTTTTTTAAATGTCATTTTCTTAGACAGTTGTATGATTTAGTTAGTTCATTCTATAGATTTCATAACATCAGTTTATGTGTGTCTCTTCAGCAAGTTGAAAAGTTTGTTCAACCTGCATACAAAACTTGGAAGAATGCAGAAGGGAAAACCCCAGCACTTTTATTCAGTGAAGCACATCAAGATTTGGTTAAAGAAGGAGAAAAATGGATGAAAGACACAGCAAATTCATGCACCGTTGCAGCAGCCCTTATTGCTACTGTAGTATTTGCTGCAGCCATAACAGTACCGGGTGGCAATGATCAAAACAGTGGGATCCCAATTTATATTAAGCACAAATATCACCATCATAAGGCTTTTGCAGTTTTTGCTGTTTTTGATGCAGTCTCTTTATTCTCGTCTGTGACTTCAATCTTGATGTTTTTGTCAATTCTTACTTCACGGTATGCAGAGGCTGATTTTCTGTATCCTTTGCCGAAGAGGTTAATCATTGGTCTTAGTATGTTGTTTATCTCAATAACATCGCTGATGGTTGCCTTTAGTTCTGCGCTTTACCTTGTTTTTGGTCAAAACAAGGTGTGGAGACTGCTTTTGGTTGGTGGACTGGCAAGTTTGCCAGTGACATTGTTCATCTTCTTGTGCGTGAGTGCGGTTTGCTTAATTGTTTCCTGAATAAAAGGTAATCACACAAATTTAATCTTTGGAGTTGTATGTCTATAATTTATTATTTCGTAATCACACGAATTTTATATGGGAGTTGTTTGTATTATATTTCGTATAATTATGGGTGAATTGTTTGATTTATTATTTAATTTGTATTTGTGAATTTTAATATGTTGTTGATGATTTGTGTATAATTTGATTGTATCATTGGTTTAATATTGTGAATATTGCTCTTAATATGCATCCGTCAGTGATACGCATCCACGAGTGAATGTAATATGTGATTACTTAAGTGTAGATTATTCTAGTTATTGTTAAACATACATATCTCGGTTTTTGGTAATTTATTTTAGTTTGATTTCTTTTTATTTGCTACGTTAGAGTGTACTTCCGCAATACTATTATTTGAGGTTTTATTTGGCTCTTAAATTTATAATCTTGGGTTGAGAATTAATAAATTTTGGGTATTAGTTTGATTGCCTATAAGAGTTGAGATATACTACGATTGAATCGAGTTCGAATTATTATATGAATTGGGAACCTTGCCAATATTGAGATATTATAAATTAATTTGTGAATGGTTATTTGATCAATGTGTGAGATCAAAAGGTTGAGATTATTATTTTGTTATTGGTTTGAGGCTCGGCGTTATAAACCTTAGTCCTTGGCTTGTTGGTAATGAGATAATGATCATGAGTTAAGAATGAGGTACAATCTTTATTATTTGCTTTTCTATGGTCCCCTACATTGGGAATTGACCCGTATATGGTCTGGTTCAAGGTGTTTTTTTGGTTGTTGGGAGTTTTCAAGTTTTTATACTTGTTGGTTTTATTCGAATTACCCATGTCCAAGGCTAGATATAGAACAATGAGCATGTCACACTTATGGGATATATTGAGTAAAGGTTCGTATTATTATTTGAGGTTGAGTTGATAAAGGTTATTTTCAGAGTACAATGTGTTATGTAGTTTTGAACGACATTATTTAATTGAGCTAGTAATGTTGATTATCCTATTATACTCTATATTCTGATATGTGGTAATTACTCAGCTTTTTGCTGACGTGTGTGTTATTTTGTTGTGCTACTTGTGTTTGCGGCCATGTCTTTTTCTTATGGTGGCCCTGCGACGATCTATTTTGGAATTTGTCCTTAATGGTGAGCAGTCAAAATTGTTTAAACAGGTTAATCAAGTGATCGTAGCTAAATGAGCTCAAGTGATCGATTAGTTTGTTTATAACAAGTTTGTAAAGTTGTATAAATAGCTCACCTAGTTTATTGGGATTTTGTAAGCCTTAACACTCGACAAGTTGTTGAGTGTGGCGATAATACCTCCGATTTAAGTGTATGCTTTCGCAATTTTATTTAAAGGTTGTCTATTTTTCCTTTATTTCTTATTTATTATTAGCTAGTAAATCGGGGGTGTTACAGTATATATTTATTTTGAGGGTTTAAAATATATGATTAAGACATATTTATAAGTAAATTCATTATTACTCATTAAATCATTTTTATTTTAAAATTTTTGTAAAATGAATATGAGTATCAAGATTTGTAAGCTGTGCATCGCACGGGTGCTATACTAGTGTAATAAGAATGTGGTGGGTTAATGATGTTGAAAAGGTGAGGGTAAACAATTTTCTACTATACCAATGAAGATTTTTTTTTTCAAAATTTAGTTAACATATATATTCTATGTTTTAAATTTCATAGCTTTTGCACCTTTTATATTAGACAATTCATTATTATTGCTCAAACCATGTGTCAGACTAAAGTTTGTCAACTAATTAAATTGGTAAGGGGAAAGTGTTGCATCTGTAACTAACCTAGATGTCATTGTTCTAAGGTATAACTTTGGTAAAAAAAAAAACTGTTAGTTTATGCGTATTATAAATGTTATAATTCTCTATAATTTATTTATTTTTTGTAAATTATTGTAGAGCTAACTAAGGGATGTAATTAAGAGAGTATTGCATGGTACTAACTACTAACCTAGATATCTTTGTTAAATTAAGAACCGTTATAAAACTAAATAATTGTGTTTATATTAAAAGAAACTATAAATCTCTCTTTTGTGTAAATTATTGTATAACTATTCAAATATTGAAATAATTCATAATAAAATTTTGTTAAATCTGTGCATTGCACGGAATCTAATCTAATTTATTTACGTAAGAAAGTGTATCGATCATTTTGAAATACAAGGGGTTACAAGCAACAACTACTATATACCAAAAACTTTTTTTTTCTTTTTTTAATCTTTTTACCGACTAACTTGTGGTTAACTTTTCAAATTTTTTTTTTCTTTTGACCATCAAACTATAGCACTTTAATAAACAAAAAATACCAAAGTAACACTATGACATTAGCATCTGATACTAAACTTATTTATTAGTACTATTGTTACCCAAAACAAAAAAAAAATCTCTTCCTAAAATTACACTCCCTCCATTTCACTTGGTTTTTTTAGGCATTTCAAAATGATATACCTATATGGAATATATTCCTAACAATATAATAGGGTGAATAATTTTCATAACCTATGAATAATTAATCTAATTGGGTGTTTAAAGAGTCAAATAATTCTATTTGGTTAATATATTCTATTTGGTTAATATATGCGCTAAGCTAGTGGATTGCTGACAAGACAAATTCTTCCAATCAAGATTTATTACAAGCGATTTAATTACACCAAATTTCCATAAATAAAGAAAGCGTGAAAAGACAACATTAATTACAAAGCTGCAATCAAATTCCAAATTTTTAGGTATAGACAGCTAAAAATGTCTCCCCAAAACCAAACCCGATAATGAACAATTTTTCACCGCCATTATTGGCCGGGTCGAGTATTTAATCTCCGGAGTGCTTAAAATCCATATTCAGTCCAACACAACATACAAATCAGTCTACATTTTTAGTCCAAGTATTTATCCAAATATTGTCCAATCATCATTTCAACCCAAACCATTTTAATCCATTTCGTTTCATTAATTAATTGAGCTCGATTAATACATAATAAAACCCTAAACCTGAAAATGAGTCCGGAACAACTAAAATGTCGCGTAATTATCATGTATTTTGTTTAAAATTAAACAAGATAAAAACGAATTTTAAGGAAGTTTCCAGAAAACATAAACGTTGCGCTACGACAATTTCTGCCGCGACACGACGTACAACAGCAATTCCTACCGTGACACGACAATTCTTTTGACCTGGTTTTATCTTTTAACACGACTTGACCTTTAGAATTAATTGTCGTGCCACAGCAGATATCCGTACCACGACAATTTATTTCTCTGCGACGCCTCGTTTCTGGGGGGTTTCGTACCTTATCCCTCCCATTTTCTCTATAAATACGAGGCTGATTTCACAGTTTCGGGGCTCGAAATAATACTCTCTTTCTCTCTTATGCTCTAGCCTTAATACTTGCCTTCCCTATTCTCACAATTCATCCCCTAAGCACTCCCTAGAGTTCGTACTTTACCTAAAGTTCTATACTTAAACCAAGGCATGAAAGGTAGAACTCTTTGAGGATTTGGGCCCAAATCAACTTTACTTTAATTTGAATCAATTTCCATTTTATTATTGATTTTCCTTGAAGTTACTAACGTGTTTATTGTTTTATAGTTATAAGCAAACACAGTCAAAGTAAGGAATCATGTTCCTTTTGTTCCTATTATATTTCTAACGATTTTTTTTTTATTGTATTTGTCATATATTGATCGCTATTATGGTTAAATTATTTCCAATGTTAATGTTGATTCTATTATTATTGTATTAGCCACCATATTGCATGATAAAGGGAATATGTAATTGAATATAACGTCTAATAAGATAATTTGGACGACCGGTTTAAGATCTTTTTTAGTCTTGTTGTTAATTTTAACTGGTCACGAAAATTAGAATTATATGTTGCATTAACATTCAACCAATTTAGTTTGGAGCAAATTGAATCTTTGTATTGTGTGCCTTTGAGATCGCATAAATACTTTTCATTATAAGAATTGAGTGGATGTCAATACGGGCGAATGTGACTCTATAACTCACTTTGTACCATCATCTCCGATTCTCTTTTTGTGGTCTCGAACCATATGGAGCTAGTAATCTCATGGATTATGAATAGGGTACGGTGTAACCTTCACGGGTCAATCGTTGTTGCCCATCATTGTCCCTTATTCATGGTTGCCTTTTAATGATCCGTGAACGGTTTACAAGTTCTTTAAAAACTTGTTGGCGGATCCCTACTTTGCTTTGGCCCTAATCGCATGTCAATTCCCACTTCCTAAGAGTGTGAAGCATATTCACAACATGCTTAGGTAGCCACGCTTCGAAATAACGCCTACATTAGGATTCCTCGCTCTTTTTTTATTTTAAGTGATTGATTCCAAATAGAACTAACAAAGTGAAACGGAGGGAGTAGTTAATAATTTCCCTCTGTGCTTTATTAGTTGCTCCACTTTTCTTTTGCAGCCGTATTTTATTACTAGCTCAATTTCTTATTTTTGGGAACTTTTAAAAATATTATACTCCCTACTAGTGTTCTCCTTATACTTCCTTCGTTTTTTTTTTTTTTTTGAAAACATACTTCCTTCGTGTTTAAATTAATGAAATGTTTCCTTTTATGTCAATAGGTAATATTTAGACTGGTAATTTCTTTAATTATCAATAAGTAAAAATTATAACAAATTAATCATTAATTTTATAGCTAGCTTAATATAAAAAATTCACCATTGAGAAAATTTAAAACCACAGTGTTACCAAAATGATTTTTTTTTAGTAAAGATTGAATATTGTAGATTTGATAGTTTATTTCCATTTTCTTTTTTACGAGTATTTTTTTTTAATTTTACATACAGTGGAAAACCGCAACTCCAGTTAGCGATTTTCCCCATTTGGAAATCGTTAACTCAAATGGCGGTATTTGGTTGAACCGGATAAAAAAAATATGAATTAATACTTAGATGATGATGTGGACAATATAATGAGAAATTTTAAAAGTATGGCTATATTTATGGAATTACAATTTTTGGGAGCATTATTAAGGGAAAGGAAGAAATACTCTTTAACAAAATACAAAGTAAACGCCATCACATGCGGATTATCAGGGGTGTTCTGATTGACTGAATTGAATATTTTATGAGAGCAGGAAATTAAGATAAAAACTGAACTGAACTAAATTTATTGGAGCTGAACTGAAAATAAGCCGAAGAGAACAGAGCCCTCACATTAGCATCACTGCATCAGATACTTAACGTACTATCTTAAAAAAGAAACAAAATAAATCAGCATAATTAAAGTGATGACACACTTGAAAAAGTAAGAATAAACAATGGTGGTTGCTTCAAAAAGTAAAGAATAAAAAAACAAGAGTAGAGTGACATGGAAAAAGAAAAGATAAAAAAAAAGCATTAATTTACTGTAAGGATTTTTTACGAAACTGAGCCCTATTAGCAAACTATTTACAAATATAGACGCGTGGCCAAACTATTTACGGAATTGAGCTTCTGAGGTAAAACGCTGCCTCGGTCAGCGTTTTACCTCTGTTATTATTTTTTTTTAAATTTCTTATTTAGTGAAATACAATTTTTTTTTAAAAAAAATATGGAAATACATAAAAACGCTGCCTCAGTCAGCGTTTTTGTCTCCCTTAAAACGCTGACTGAGGCAGCGTTTCATTAATACTAGAAAACCGCTGCCTCAGTCAGCGGTTTTGCCTGGTATATTTTTCGCGCACTCACTCTTCCTCAAACTAAAAACTCAAACTCACTCTTCCTCACGCAATAGCCTATCTTCCTCAAAGCTCTGTCGTCGCCGCCGCCGCCTGCTGCCTGCCGCCGTCGCCGCCGCCTATTGCCTGCTGCCGCCGCGCCTCTCCTCTTCTTTGTAATCACATTGTTAGTACTTCTCACTTATTTGTTTTTAAAATTTAAAAACCTAGGTTAGTTTGATAATTATATACTACATTGTTTTAATTTGATAATGTTGTTGTTTATTCACGGGCGCAGAGGAGTACGACATTCGCAGTTCCGCGCCCCTACGTCATCCTGATGACCCATCTTCCAGCCAGCTGACTCCGCCAGTACGCCCGAACCCATTTACGACGGTCCGTCACTACAACCGTCGTCAAAGGCCGAGAGTGGACATACAGGATAGAGAGCCGTTACACTAAATTGATGAGTCAGAATAGGATAGAATTATCTGATTTATTTGCTGTAATGACCTTCTCTAGTTTGTTGTACATAACACTTACATTACATTATTATTTGAATAATTATTTGAATGAATTTATGTCTTGTTTGAATTTCAAATTCCTTATTTGTCCACGTTTGACTCATTTCGTTCAAAATAAATTGTGGATGTGGAGGTGGTGGATGTGGAGGAGGATGGGTGGTGGAGGTGGTGGATGTGGAGGAGGAGGGTGTTGGAGGTGTTGGAGGATGTGGAGGAGGAGGGTGATGGTGGTGGTGGATGTGGAGGAGGAGGGTGGTGGTGGTGGGGGAGGAGGAGGGTGATGGTGGTGGTGGATGTGGAGGAGGAGGGTGGTGGTGGTGGTGGATGTGGAGGAGGAGGGTGGTGGATGTGGTGGATTTGGAGGAGGAGGGTGGTGGATATGGAGGAGGAGGGTGGTGGTGGTGGTGGTGGATGTGGAGGAGGAGGGTGATGGTGGTGGTGGATTTGGAGGAGGAGGGTGGTGGATGTGGAGGAGGAGGGTGGTGGTGGTGGTGGATGTGGAGGAGGAGGGTGGTGGAGGTGGAGGAGGAGGGTGGTGGTGGTGGTGGATGTGGAGGAGGAGGGTGGTGGAGGTGGAGGAGGGTGGTGGTGGTGGTGGTGCATGTGGAGGAGGAGGGTGGTGGTGGTGGTGGAGGATGTGGAGGAGGAGGGTGGTGGAGGATGTGGAGGAGGAGGGTGGTGGTGTTGGTGGATGTGGAGAGGGTGGTGGATGTGGAAGGGGGCTGCACTGGCTGCTGTTGGGGGCCTGCTGTTGCTGCCTTCAGCCAGCAGATAAAACGTTGACTCAGTCAGCATTTTTCTCTGTTATGGATAAAAAAAAACGCTGACTGAGTCAGCGTTTTACTGTATTTCCAATTTTTTTTTAAAAATTTGTATTTCACATAATACGAAATTTTATAAAAAAAAAATAATAACCAAAGGTAAAACGCTGACCGAGGCAGCGTTTTATATCCGAAGCTCAGTTTCGTAAATAGTTTGGCCACGCGTCTAGATTGGTAAATTATTTGCCAATTAAGCTTACTTTCGTAAAAAATCCAAATCAATCCTGAAAAAAGTATATTCTGAAGCTCTTGCTTCACATCAAGTTCGAAAGCTGAAGGGTCCAGTGACCAAGATCTCTCAGATACTTGAAGCTGGTGTCTTGGTTGATGATGAAGCTGAAAGTACGTTGAGTTGGGTAAAGAAGGTGAGCGATGCGGTGCATGAAGCGGAAGACTTGGTAGATGAAGCTGCTACTCATGCTGCCAGGTCAAAGGTACGCTCATTTGCCTCTTTGTATGTTAAAACAAGTTTAATTGGTAAGAGAATGGGCCGTGAAATAGAGAGGGTTTGCAAGGAACTAGATCAGCTAGCAGCTGATGCCGGCTTTTTGGAATTTGGTTTTGGTAACCAATCAGTATCAAATCTTGGGACAGATGTTGTGGAAACTCGTGGTTATATGCAAACCCAAAATGACATCATTGTAACGAGATTCGATCACAAAGAGTTAATAGTACAACAGTTAGTCAATACCAGTGATGTAGAGGGTGAAATAGCTACTCATTTCATTGTTGGGAAGGGAGGATTAGGCAAGACTGTCTTAGCTCAGTTGGTGTACAATGATGAAATGGTCGCAGATCATTTTGACCTAAGATTGTGGGTTTGTGTTGGTGATAACTTTGATGTCAGGACAATAAAACTATGTATTTAACCCATAAAAAAATTCTTTTTTTTAATACAAACTATTATTTTTTTTTTTGAAATAAATACAAACTATTACTCACTCCGTCCCCGAATGATAGTCACTTTTGGGTGAAAATCACGGGAATTAAGGAGAAATAAATAAAGTACATGAGAATTAAAATCCAATCATTTGCAAAATAAAAAAGAGAGAGAAACTGATTGTCATTAAAAAGGGAGACAACTCATTCAATTAAGGCACAAGTACAAAGGCAAATATGAGGGTATTTTGGGAAGCACAGATAATACATCCAAAAAAATGAGGGTATATAGGTCATTTTGTGTTATTGTATGGGACCTAAAATTGTGAAATGTGACTAACATTTTGGGTGTCCAAAAATGGAAATAGTAACTATTATTCGGGGACGGAGGGAGTAACTTTTTTTTTTTTTTGAATAGATACAAACTATTAACTTAATTCACCTTCCTTACGCAAATATTTTTTTAATCAGTAATTAGACAACATAAAATACTACTCTATATCTTTCATGTCAAATATTATTTTTATTATTCATGATTTCTAATTACTTTCTTAGAGCTTCTAATACGTAGTTGAAAGGGTAAAGTCGCATCCCCTAATAAAAAATAATTACCTAAGTCTTCTAACTAAAGTAGATAGGGAAGTAGGGTCGAATCCACAGGGAAATAAGTCTTTATACTCCTAATTAATTATTATAATCTAAATTATCGAGGTAACCAATATTAATGTAAATAAAGTCTGTATTACGAAGAATAAGATCGGAGGAAATAAAATAGGGAGAAATTAAATATTAAAAGACCTAGGGCATAGGTTCACTAATAAACAATAATCCAGGGAAAATCATAATAAGCAATCATCAAGCATTGATTAATCAAATTATAAAGGGCTTTCGCTACGTATTATAATCACAGAGTTAATTTACCGGTATTAAATCTCATCTGTCGAATCTCGACTAGTACTTAACCATTTATAAATTAGTCCGCCTATTGAAACTAAGCCTAAACATCAATTCTCATCTGTCGAATCTCGAATTAATATTTCTAAACTCATACAATTAAATCTGGCCAAACCTAATTGCATAGCATTAAATCAATCAATAGGAAATTAACCAAGCATTGATAATCAACAATCACAAATTTACCCCTTCATAATATTTATTAGATCCCCATGAACCCTAGAAATAAAACTACTCAAGCATCATCATAACTAAACTAATCAAATAAATAAAGCAAGACATAATCAAAGAAGTAAATAAAATAACTGAAATTAAAAGAGAAGAAATTGTTACCAAAAGAAATATGGCAAAACCAAACCAAGTGATGAATACCTTTCATGTCATTTGATTATCGAACATAGTGAAAGTGTGAAAAGTCTAGTGATGAGGATGTTTTTATTAAAATATCTCTTCTTTCTGTTTTTGAAAATATTTCTTTTCTTACTCTATTTATGAAAAAACGTACATTCCAGTTTATTTTGGTCCATGATATGAGTCCAATAATGGTGTAGTTGGATGGGTCTTGAAAAGAGCTTTCCAACGATATATTATAAGCCTAATTCCGATGAATAATGAGGAAGTTATGGCCAAAATACTAAACTGGGCCCGGTTTGGTTCTTATATGCGGCCCAATGATCTAGAGGAGGGCCTATTATTAATTATCATTCCTAAAGCTATTAGAATTGATTATGGTTTTCTAGAATACTGTTGAAGGTTATCTTAAATCCTAATGGAGTTAGGATTGATAATTATGTTTCAAAGAGTTTGAAATTGAATAAAACTACTCCTTTTGAGAATCCTTGTTTTGTACCAAATGAAATTTATTCAGATATTATTTTTACGCCTCATAATCTTTATCCAAATCTTATATGGTTGGATAAATCTTGAAATTATCTTTCCAATGATATATTATAATATTAATAATGGTTGTCTGTAACAACAACATTGACCGTTGGGGCCAGAGGTAGTAGAATTCTTGTCACTTCACGCTCTCAAAGAGTTACATATGAAATAAAAGCTGATTATATACTTCTGATGTCTGGTATGATGATGGATGAATCATGGGAACTATTCAGCAGAAATGCATTTGGCGAGAAAGAACCCCCAGAACATCTTATTCAACCACTCAAAAAGTTGGTTGTTTTTCCAAAGTGAGCCAATTTTGGCAAATATTAACCAAAATGGTTGCGTGGCAAAAATATTTACCAAACTAAGCTTCCAGGCTAAAACGCTGTCTCGGTCAGAGTTTTATGCCTGGGTTTTTTTTTTTAAAAAATCAACCTAAAAACGCTGTCTGGGACAGCGTCTTTGTTGTTGACCTTTTTTTAAAAATTTTTTTGTAATTGCCTTTTATTTATAAAAATGTTTTTAAAAAACAAAAACAGTTATACCAAAGACGCTGTCCCAGACAGCGTTTAACTCTGGAACTATAAACGCTGTCTCAGACAGCGTTTAAGGTTATTAATGAAACGCTGTCTAAGACAGCGTTTTGTCGTTTTTTTTTTCCCTCCAACAGCGTATTTCATTTCATTTCCTCCTCCTTCATTCTCAAACCCCTTCTTTCCCAAACTGTAACTTAATCCCCCTCTCTCTCATACTCGTGCTCCTCCGTGTAGACCGCCGCCGGCGCCGCCACCTCCACCGTCGCCCGCCGTCACCTCCACCGTCGCCCTCCGTGTAGCCCACTATACACTCCCCTCACCCTGAAATAGGTATTCATTCAACTTTCTTTGTGTTTTAAATTCTAGGGTTTATGTTGGTGATTTCTAATTTTTTTGGAATTGGGTTAAAATGTTGATGAGGTTGAGTTGTTAGTGTTAAAAATGTTGAATTGTTAGTGTTGGTATTGTTGAATTATTAGTGTTGGTAATTGTTGAATTGTTAGTGTTGATAATGGTAGTGTTGATATTGTTAGTGTTGATAATAGTTTGGATAATGTTGAATTGTTGTTGTTGGTTTTGTTGAAAATTGTTGACAATGGTTGATAATTATTAGGTTTTGAACAATTGTAATTACCTACATTGTTGTGTAATAATGGTGATTTAGGGGTTCTTAGTAGTTAATTTGTAGAGTATGTAAATTTTTTTTGTTTGATTGTGGTGATTTAGGGATGATTTAACGGCTTTACGTAAAATGTGTTTTGGTTGTTATGTAGAATATGGCTGGACAAAATGTAGCGTTGTTATGTCGATGGGGAGGTGAAATTTTGTGTAATGGATCAAATGTGGAGTACAGTGGAGGGAATATGGACCTTATAACACTTGAACCGAACATGATTGTGAATGATCTGATGAATGAGGTTCACAGTTGTATTGGTTCAAACCCTATGACTGTTGAACTGAACCTTAAAATGAGGTGTGATACTGGTCATGGGGTGCAAGTGTTACCTGTCTCTACGAACAAACATTTGAAAGGTTTGAGGAGCATGGTAGGAATGAAGGGTTTTCCCAATGAGATATATGTAGAAACAGTGCCTATATGTACCCAATAAAGTACTCGGGCAGAACAACAAGCAACATATGTCTCTGATTACAACACCACGTCCTTCCAAGAGCCCGCAAACCACATTCCATCGAATGCATATAGGATGGGTTCTTTCACTCGAATGATGCAGGACGACCAATTTCACTTGCCTTTTAGTTCTCATATAGCTTCACCAGTACATGCGGGGGGACGCGTGACAGTGTTCGGCCAGCCTGCTCCGTCGTCATCGAACACCGTGGCATCTTCGCCGATGCAATTGCATAGCTACTCTCCTATGCAAGGTGATGATGGTTCACCGTTTCGAGAAGAGCCAAATCATTTTGATGATGTTGTGAATAATGAATTGTCGGTGTATGATGTGTATGCGGAAATGGATGATGAGGACGAGAACGGAGAGGGGGATGATGAACCTACACAGGTGGAAGATGGTCAGCCGTTGGTTAGAACTCCCATACCTTGGTTCAGTGAGGTACCCGAGAAATATGAAGTTGATCAGTATTGGGCCGAATCGGGTAGCCACACCTCTTTTGTTCCCGGGGGAGAATTTGAGAAGGGAATGTATTTTGAGAGCAAGAAACTGCTTCAAGAAATGGTGAAGATGTATTCTATTCAGAGGAATCAATTCTACACCACAGTGACCTCGAATGATGGTGTCCTACATCTGCGATGCAAGAAGAAATGTGGTTGGATGCTACGGGGTACCAAATCGAGTGAGCACTCACGTGGTTTTACCATAGTCACGTACAAAGGCCCGCATCGGGAGACATGTATCACTGAAGTACTATCTAATGATCACCCACACTTGGATTCGTCCGTAATAGCCGAGTATGTGAAGTCCTTTGTGCGGAAAGATCCTTCGTTGAAAGTGGAATTCATACAGGAACTGATCTCGAAGCAATTTCATTTCGATGTCCCGTATCGATGAGCGTGGTATGCCAAGGAGAAAGCTATAGCTGAGATATTTGGGGATTGGGAGAGTTCATATGGAAGACTTCCCCACTTCATGCAAGCACTCCTACGGTCGAACCCGGGAACATGTGTCGTATGGAAACACAAAGCTTTAGTGGATGGTGTATACTACAGCAACATGGAAGTGTTTGAACGAGTGTTTTGGGCCTTCGGTCCTTGTATTGATGGCTTTAAACACTGTATGCCTGTCATCTGTATCGATGAGACGCACTTGTACGGGAAGTATAAAGGAACACTGTTGGTTGCTACGAGTGTTGATGCAAGCTTCCAAGTATTTCCTATTGCATTTGCGGTGGTTGAAGGGGAAAACACTTCCAGCTAGTCTTGGTTCCTAGGTTGTATTCGAGATCGTGTCACGCAACGGGATGGCCTTTGTGTTATTTCTGATCGGCATCCTGGGATCATTGCAGCAATGAATGATCCTAATGTTGGATTCACCCAGCCCCGAGCGTATCACAGGTTTTGTGTCCGCCACATAGCCTCTAACTTGAAGACTCACGTGCGAAGTAACGACATGAGAGACATGTTCAAGGCCGCTGCGTACCAAAGGCAAGAAAGAAAACTTCAAGCTGATATGTGTTTCATTGGTGAGGCCTGTCCCAAGGCCATTGAGTACATTTCTCAAGTCCCGTTCCCTATGTGGTCTCTGTTTCACGACAGTGGTCGCAGGTATGGTATATTTACCTACAGTTGTTAGACCACGACTGGGAGCATATCCGTGGATACAGCTGGGGTAGTGCCTCTTTGGCGGTGTTGTATCGCCAACTTTGCAGAGCCTCACAGAGTGGTGCGCTCGAGATTGGAGGACCTCTGTTTGTGCTTCAGGTATACTAGGTATATTATCACAAGCGAATTATGCAATGAGTAATGTCATATTTAACATAGTTTTGTGTTTTGCTATTGAAGCTATGGGCTTGGGAGCACATCCACGTAGGAAGACCAGGTAGGCCTGCTGTACATCGTCCGGGGCAGCAGGACCAGGATGACCAGTATGAGCCGTACATCGCTCCGCCTCACCCTGCAGCTGATGAGGCTTAGGGTTGCAGGTTTGTAACAATTGTCATTTTTTTCCCATATACGATTTCATTTTGTAAACATACTTACCAAATTTGTTGCCCCAGGTGGATGGTCCCCAGAATCACACAGGCACATGCGGCGAGGGGTCTCCCATACTACCGAGATGCCCTTGATCGACTCACTGAGGATCAGGTACAAACTCTGAAGACATTTGTAATCATTTAGGTACTGTGTATACTGATTGTGGACTAACTTATTTAGGATGTGTTATTGGAGATCACATGGGATCCGTATGTACCGGAGTTGGTAGATGTCATGCCTGCACATCTACTGGAGCATCAGGGAGAGTGGCGTGCCCGGGCCCCCCTGATCTGTTTCGAGGTTGTGGAGAGTCACCTACCTGACCGCGTCATGCGACAGTTCGGACTGCAGCAGCCTATTCCCCAGAACTGTGACACTGTCGTGCGCCTTCACGACATTGACCGTCGAGGAAAGACGGAGACAAACTGGGCACTGGAGTATTGGCAGTATCTTCAGCTATGGGAACAACGGTTGGGTCATGTCGTTCAGGGTTATCCCATGCAGGGCGTTATGGATCATGACGATTCGTACATGGTGTGGTACAGGCTTATCACACGCCGTTTCATCAACCCCAGCTACACGCTACCGTCCACCCATTACCACCCGGCACATGACGTCATTAGCGGATATGTGAGTTTCTTTTACTATACTTATCATCCTCATTTTTTAACTTTTTTAAATATCATGTACTTGACTGATCGATGATTACTACAGGCGGCGGATATGGTGGCGATGTATGATGCACTGTCCCTCGCCCTTACAGACGGACCCACCAAAGCCCAGGTCCAGCGGATGCGAGATATGTCCGCGACTTCCTTACGCAGACATGGTCACGGTCATCTCATCCAACAGCGGGACGGTGATAATGGTCACTCCATCCATTCGCGGTTCGACCCTGGCCAGAGTAGCAGTGGAGGTGATCCTACGTCGCACACAGAGGCAGAGGAGTACATCTTCCACAGTTCTGCACCCTTCAGAACCCAGGAGGACGCATCGTCCAGCCAGCTCACTCCCCCCCGCGCCGGAACCCATTCACCACCATTCACCATTACACTCGGCGTCGTCCAAGACGAAGGGACGACAGTGAGGCTAGGGAAGGGTTACACCAAATTGATGAGTAGTGAACGTTTTGTCCTTTTTCCCGGAATGCTGTATATAACGATTGCATTATCAATATAAGACATGCTGGTTGAATGAATCTGTTTGTGTTTTGAAGTTTTGTTTGTTTATTTATCCAAATCGGATTTATGTTAGTCAAAATAGATCCTTCAGGGCTAATGTACATTAAACAACAGACATTTGGAATCCATAGTCGAAAATGGGGAAGAAAGGATGGCCCGTGGTGGTTAATGTGGTTGTTCATGGTGGTTTTAGTGTTGTTGGTTGTGGTGGGTGGTTATCGACGGTTGTTGAATGGTTGGGGTTGGTGGTGGAGCTGGTTGAAGTGTTGTTGGAGGTCAAAAGTGGTGGCAGATGGTGGTCGATGGTGGGGGTTGTTGGTGGATTGTGGTGGCAAGAATCATGGCAGGGGGTGGTGGGTAGGGGCAGAAGAAAGTGGCAGATCAGTGGCAAAAGGCTGATTCTGCTGCTGTTTTGCACACCAGCAGAGAAACGCTGACCCATACAGCGTTTTAGGTTGAAAATAAGACGCTGTCTGAGACAGCGTTTTAGGTACAAGGAAGTTTGTACATAAAGCGCTGTCTGGGACAACGTCTTTGGTATAACTATTTTTGTTTTTTAAAAACATTTTTATAAATAAAAGGCAATTACAAAAATTTTAAAAAAAAAGGTCAACAACAAAGACGTTGTCCCAGACAGCGTTTTTAGGTTGATTTTTTTTTAAAAAAAACCCAGGCATAAAACGCTGACCGAGACAGCGTTTTAGCTTGGAAGCTTAGTTTGGTAAATACTTTTGCCACGCAACCATTTTGGTTAATATTTGCCAAAATTGGCTCACTTTGGAATTCTTGTCACTTCACGCTCTCAAAGAGTTACATATGAAATAAAAGCTGATTATATACTTCTGATGTCTGGTATGATGATGGATGAATCATGGGAACTATTCAGCAGAAATGCATTTGGCGAGAAAGAACCCCCAGAACATCTTATTCAACCACTCAAAAAGTTCCTTCACCTTTGTAAAGGTTTTCCTCTAGCCATTGTAGTTGTTGCCCGTTTTCTTCAATCAAAGAATGAAGACGAATGGAAAAACATCCTTGCAACACTTGAGAAGAATGTTGGGGATGATATTCACAGTCTTCTTAAGATCGTCCTAAAGCAAAGCTACAATCATTTCCCATCACCATTGAAGGCTTGCTTTGCTTACTTGTCCCTGTTTCCTAGGGACTTTGAATTCAGCACACTTGATGTAGTTAGTCTTTGGCAGGCTCAAGGGTTCCTTGACACAGCAGCACCAGAAATGTCAGGTGAAGACCAACAACTGGAGGATTTGGGCGAGAAATACTATTCTTTTCTGGCCCAACGTGCATTTCTCACGCCTTTAGTATCGGATGAAGATACAAAACTTGCAACTTTTAAGATTCATGACCTTTTGCATGATTTTGCATCAAAGGCAGCTGAAGGATGGGAGAAAACACATGTATCTCTCATTCATGGAAACGACCCGACACTGGTGCAAGATAACTTAATGGATAACCATAAACTAAAAACGTTTCTTTGCTTTGTTGCTCTAGAAGAAGCTGATACAATGACTGAAATAAGGCTAGTTATGAAATTGTCAAAATTCAAGAGCCTTCGGGTGTTGGATTTGCATGGGTTTGGCATTCAGATTCTACCAGATTCCAATGGCAACCTTATTCACTTGAGGTATCTTGATCTCTCCCACAATCAACCTTTAGTGAAGCTGCCCAATTCAATCACAAATTTGTACAATTTACAAACACTGAAACTCAATTGTTGTTACGATCTCAAAAAATTACCCATTAATACAAGAAAGTTGGCCTGCCTCAGGCGCCTTGAGATAGATGGGTGTGAGAAATTGACTCATATGCCTCCTGGCTTTGAAAACCTGACTTCACTGCGAATTCTTTCTCGTTATGTGGTTGGAAGACCTCGTTTTCAGTCTACCAGTGGATTTCACTCACTTGGCAGCCTCAACCGCTTACAGGGAAGATTGATGATTGAGCTTTCAGAAAACTGGACTGCTGATGTAAATGAAGTCACAAAATCAAACTTGAGCAGCAAAACCAGGCTTACAGAGCTAGCAATTAAATGGGGACCTGCGAGACATACCAGTGAAACTGATTCATTTAAGCACCAGACGACGTTAGATGGCCTCCAGCCCCCTCCTAATCTGAAAATGCTGCATATAGAAGGATATAGAGGGCCTGATTTCCCAAGGTGGGCAAAGGCCAACACTTTTACCACAGCACTTCCAGAACTCGTCACTGTCAGCATTGATGGCAGTGGACAGTGCAAAACACTCCCTCCTTTCAGTAGGCTCCCACACCTCAGGCGCCTCACTCTTCGATTTATGGACAATGTGCAATTTTTTGAAAACTCTTACAACCAATCATCAACATCAGAATCTCAATTTTTCCCAACCCTTGAAGAGCTCACACTGCATGGTTTTTATTGCTTGGAAAGATGGTGCGAGGATGAAACACTTGTGTCATCACTATCATTTGATTATCTCGAGAAACTGAAGTTATGGAGTTGCCCAAAGTTGGAATTCATGCCTCTGTTTCCTGATGTTGAAGTACTTGATCTGCAAAATATCAACAAAAAATTATTCGATGTTTGCAATGCGACATCACTTCCATCATCATCTAGTTCACAGGCTATGAATTCTGTGCCAAGAGGGCATCCACAAAACCTCCCACGTCTCAAGACATTGCATGTAAAGGGTTGTCCTAATTTAAAGACCTTAGCCCTTGAAAAAAACTCTGGTAAACTGAAAAAACTGGTGGTTGAAAGATTAGATATGGTGAGTTCTTTAACTGAAGTTCTGAAACAACTCACTTCTCTTGAAGAGCTTGAAATTTCTAGCTGCAAGGATCTTGACCTTTCAGGCGGATGCCAACGTAGCTGTGGTGAATGTGAGGAGTGTAGTATGCCATGGAAATCTCTCTCAACTCTTCGTCGTTTAACTCTAAGGGAGCTAACAAAGCTACACACTCTTCCTGTCAGCCTGGGGTTCATTGGGACACTGAAATTTATATGCATTTCAGCATGTAATAATTTGAGTGTTCTGCCAGAGTGGATAAGAAAGTTCAGTTCACTTCAACACCTTAGACTTGAGGGTTGTCTAGCATTGTCAGAGCTGCCTGAGAAGCTAAAAGACATTAGATCTTTAGTGAAAGTTGACATCATAGAATGCCCCAAATTAATGGAACGGTGTAGAAAAGGCGGTGAAGACTGGCACAAGATTAAACATGCACGAGTTCTATGTCACAAGTCCTGGCGCTATGCATTAATGACAGAAGCAGAATTACCACAGGTATATTGTCCCCTTTCCTCTCAAATCCTCCTCCTCCCTTGTACCTTTTTGTTGCCTAAACTTACACTAGTCATTGCATTTCTCAGAAACCCAAAAATCAGGGAGAAAATATTGCTGTTCATTCAGAAGATCCTACCATTCACGTAGATGTTACTGTCAGACGGCAACCAAAACGTAACATGTGATGGGTGAGCCTCAAATGTATGATAACACCGTTAAATTGCTGTCATTTAAATTTTTTGTCTTTGTGTTATGGCTGATTATATTTGGTAAAAAGAAAAAAAAATCATTCTAATTTTACTGCTTATTCTACAACATGCCATTAATTGATTTTATTTAATATTTTCGTTAGGTATATTTTTTTTAGATAAGCTAAGATTGATTTATCATAGTGATATTTAGGTATACTTGTAATCATATTGAAAAGTCATGATATTGCTCAAAAACTGTATGCAAATGACCCTATCTTAATGTCAGGTTATACCAATATGCTCAGCCCAAATAAAGGACTACTAAAGAAATTTTTTTCCTCTTTTATTTTTCCAGATATCAAAGTGAAGGTGTTAATCTCAAGTATCAGGCAGATATTGAAATAGCTCGAAAAAATGCTGCTCTGAAGCTGAGAAAGAAGGCTGGAAACCCCAAGTTTCAAACATCACTTGAATATAATAAAATTTAGCACTGATCGTTGGTCACTTGTAAAGATTTCTCAGCTATATTTTGTACCTATTCGTATTTTCTTCAGCAGTTGTCTTGGCAATAGTATCTCAATTCTCATCATAGATTAATATATTACTTGTATGTGTTTAGGCCAGGGTTTTAGGCCTTACTTTAATACAATTATTATCGGTTTGTAGTAATTTGCCACTATATATAGTGGATGTATCAGTTTGTTGGTTTGTTTTTTCTTTTACTGTAATTTAAATGAAGCTTATTCTGCAGAACAATGTTAGTAGATAGAAATAAGAAAATAAAGCTGTAACTCTGTAAGCAATTACTCCGTAATTTTTTTGCTATTATTTGCAGTAGTTGCCACATTAATTTTCACCACAAAGACAGGAAGTATTCCAGATTTTTGAATTAGAAGCAAAATACCATACTAAAATGAGGCAGCAAGTAAAATAAACTGCAAAGTTAAGCTCACTGATCTAATACAACGTACCAGTCATGAAACACATGCAAATTGATTGCATTTCTGCAGGTATGATTAGAATACGTGCGAAAATAAACATGCTCAAATCATGAGACAGATACAGGAGGAAAAAATTATAGCTTTACATCCAAAAATGGTACCGATCTCTCTACTAGTGTACATAGTATAGGCTCTACAGCATTAAAGCACTGGAAATATATTTGCGACAGTATATGACTCATAAGCAAATACAAATTCGAAAAGAATATCCTTGTACATGTTCTACTTAGCAAAGGCAAACAAAGATATAAATGGGATAAATTTAATAAGACCCACTTGAAGAAACAGGGAAAAGTTGAAATTACAAAACTAGTATGAAGAATGTCAGAAGAATAGAGATGAAGAGAATACCTGCAATACTTGTGGTAGCAGATCTTGTAACTGCTTTCTGCGCAACAAATGCCGACTGCTAGGCAATGATAAAAACATTTTGTCCTGCAATGGTTAACGCCATCAGAATTCTAGCCCTTCAAGTCCACAGCAAACTCAACAAGTCTGGATCTAGCCCATCCACAATTTCATTACTCTATCCCTGCCACCAGATGCCACCTTTTCACCATCTGGACTCCAATCCACAGCAAAAACCTGTAAATGTTAAAGAGCAAGGGCAATTTGTTGTCATAAATCAAAATTTATGTCTGCAAAGGAGGAGGGAGGGGGGATGATCCAGGAAAGAAACATAAATTAAAATTTCCAACCTCATCTGCATGGCCTGGGAGGTCTTGTTTCAGCTTCTGCGTTCTGATATCCCATATCTAATTGAGAAGATAGAAAATCAGGAACAAACTAATATAATCATATAAAATACAACTAATCTCACAAACCACACGAACATTATTATGATTGAAGACTAAATCCAGCAAACAGAAATACACCTTAACTTCATCACACAATTTGGATATCATAATATGAAGAAACAAGGCAAACCTACAATGTCGTGATATATAGCCAGAATTTAGTTGGCTTTGTGCAAATAATTTTAATGATATCATCACTTCATGTTAAAGTTCTAGCTTATGCTATGAGAGTCAACTTATGCTATGAGAGTCAACTTCTAATCCTGTATGTTGCTTGCACAAGAAATGAAGGCAGCATGCCAGCATATTTTGTGTTCATCCTTCCTGTTTAGGGGTTACTACTTACTACAGAGTCAAAAATCATACACGATTTAAGGTGATATTGCCGAATACTAAACGAAGCTTTCATAATGAAATGGGGTATCACTATCTATCAAGGTACCCAAGGCTACAAGAGAAAAGGTGGATTGAGCCCCTCTACATTTGGTGAGATAACTTGTTGAAGTGGAAGTCGGATAATCTTTACTCGTACTAACCTTTAGCGTAGAGTCCTTGCTACCACTCAATAGGAGTCTGCTATCTGCTGACCAACTGCAATGGAAAAAAAAAATATCAGATCAACGTCCACCATAGTTTGAAAATTTGAAGAATATAGGGAAAATTCATACCTTATTTGATAAACAGGCCCAACATGACCCCGAAAAACAGCAACAAATTTCCCCGTAACACCATTCCACAACTTAGCGGATTTATCAAAGGAAGCACTTGCCACCCATTGCCCATCAGGAGAAAAGTAAACATGATTCACAAGCTGAGTGAAACAACAAATGAAAATCTTAGGTGGCAGGCAAGGTCAGATTTTCCAGCTAACAAGTGACTATCATATTATAGCCAATAAAGAAATGTGGAAAAGGAGATGCAACATTGAAAAACAAATATGAGTAAACCCAGTTTGAGCTGGAACACTAAATTTGAGGCCAAACTACATAAGCTTTCCAAAAAAATAGAGGGAAAAAAAAATCTCAGTCTCACCTGTTGATGACCTGTCATTCGAGCTTTAGGGTGCTTGCTTACAGAAGGTTCCCATAGAAACATGGTGAAATCATCAGAACCTGAAACCAGTCTCTCTGGAGCATCACCTCTCATTTTGTTGTATCTAGCCAAAGCAACCTTGGTTCAAACATGGAATGTTAAATCAGAAACCAACTCAACTGAATTATAACCAAATAATATAAAATTAAGCAACATCTGTGAGCATCGTAGTTCCTTAGATGACCAAATTAAGCAAATTCATTCTACTTTCTGTCAAAGATGACAACTCTAACCAAAGGCCAGTTTCTATACATTCCATTTATAAGAACATTCGAAAATGTGAAATGTGACCTAATTACATAACTTTACGAAGAAGAAAGATGGAATTGTATCTATGAAAAGACTTGCCCACTCTTAGCAAAATAACCACTTGCATGTACAATATAAATGAGACACAACTATATACTCTAACTTCTGGAGCTGCAAGCATAGAGATTGAAATCTACATTACCTCCTTCATTTCCTCTGGGGAAGAACACTTCTTTCCTGTGTGATCAAAAGCTCCGGTTCGAAGGACATACTCGGTACTGAGTGCCAGAGAATTAACCCAATGTCCATGGCCCTACATCAAGGTTATAGTACATTAAACAATGCAATGAAGAAATTTAGGTATAGAGAAGATAGCTACACATCAAACAATACTGGTGACAATTAAGGGTTAATGAACAATGTGGGGAATCTACTAATGCTGAAGAATTTGGATTCTCAAAGATCCAGCAGAAGATGGAGGAACAATCAAAACAAGTAGCAAAACATAAACAAGCTCAAGTTGCTCCACTTTGGTGATCAACGTTATATTACAGGAGATGAGTAGTAAGAATAAAAAAAAAAAATGTCATTAATAAGTAATATTTATCATTATCATCACTAAATTCTTCAAGAATCAAAGTTAAGAGAAGATGTCAAAAAACAAAATCATGGAATCTTTAGCAAGAAATCAAAGCTTGACAAGTACTTCAGAAAGAAGCAATACAAACAATGGTTGCCAGAAAAATGGTACACTAAAACAATCATCATAGCATATTGATGAAGATACACCACAGTGCCTTAAAATGACCTGCAAAGTGCAAACTCAATACCAGAGATAACCTCATTACAGCAGTACCAGAAAATGCAGTTCATAGCTAACTGATGCACACACAAAAAACAGAAAAAAAAAAAAAAAAAAAAAAAACAAATAAAAAAAAAAAAAATCAGAGAAGTCATGAATAACACAAATGAAGAGAAAATCATGAAAAAAAATGTGATATACAGTAAATTATAATCACAGCCAATAAATAAATATAAGAGAAACAAAAAAACAAAACAAAAAAGAAAAAAAGAATTGCATCCAATACACTGCAGGTTATGACTTGAAGCATCCTTGATAAAGTTGTCTAGTATACCTTCAACTCACGAATTAACTTCCCTTGTTCTGTTTCCCAAACTTTTATGGTACAATCCTGAGAGCTGTTTCAGATTAAAAAAAAAAAAAAAACACACACATTATATGAGCAACCAGCACAATTGAGAGCTCTGGCTAGCATCACTAATTATTACTCCGTAAAATGATCAACGGACTAGTCAAAACTACAAAGGAAGCCAATAGATAGTTACATCGTGCACTTTTGAGTACTTACCCAGTATAGATGAAACCATCTCCACCCCATTTTACACAAGTTACAGCTAGGGTATGCCCACTCAGGCACAGTACAATTTTACTAAGTGTTACATCCCATACACGTGCATCGCCATCTTTGCTAGAGCTTACAAACCGGCGACATGGAGATTGCAAGTGTACTGGTTCCCAAGATATACCAGTAATCCATTTTTTGTGCCCCTGACATAAAGTTCAAGAGACTTATCAGTGAAGAGTTATGAAGAAAGCTCATAATTTTAAATTTCTGACACTTCAGATTGGCTTTCTCCACTTTTGTTTCCCCCCTGGGAGTAAAAGAGGTTGTCGCAGGTTAAAGGATCCTTTCATAATCTAACATAAATAAAATTGAGCCCTTTGCGTATTTTTAGACCTTAGTGCTCCTATCTCTTCAGGGAAAGACATGCAATTACATGACTAGAGTATTCTATCAGTCAAACAATGACTAAACTACTTACATAAAAGTAACTATGTACACAAACTTGAGACTTGACATAAAGCATGAATCTAAACCAAAATATAGTAAGCAAACGAAAACATAGCAAGGCTCTAATTGTTTCAAGGAACTAAACTAGCACATATGCATGTCAATAGGAGTGAGAACATTCACATGCCACCAGCAACTTTCTACTTCTTAAGCTAGAGGTGGTGTTGGCAAAACTACTCCCTATTTTTTTTAAGAAATTCAATTAATTTTAATACTGTGTAAATATTACTCCGAAACAATGTCAATATAAGCCATCTCTAGTAAGGAAAAATCTTTTATACAATTACTGCCTGGCTGAGTTGATAAAAACGAACCAGGAGAAGTTTTACCATAGACTAATCTAGCTGATGATGACAAATGATATTTCTCTCCTCAGACTTATAGATTAGAGGCTAACAAATGTTAATATTCAATCCTTAAACTGTACTAGAAAGAAACATAGCCAAAGGAAACCATGATAACGTATAATATGGAAGAGTTTGTTAGCCATGAGTTGACAATGTGGCATTGGACCCCTCCATAGTATTTCAACAAAATGCACAAAGTTAGCAACTTAAATCTATGATACATCTTAATTTATTTATTTTTGCACAAAATATTTACCGTAAGTGGGCTTCCTGATGGTTTTCCTGTTTGAGGATTCCAACACTGAAGCTCTCCTGCCTTGCTACCACTGACTAGATATTTACCATCAGGTGACCATGCTATGCAGAGTACCCAATTTTTGTGTCCTAAACAAGAAAGAACCAAAGGAACTTAAGAAAAACTAGTAAACAAAGTCAAAATCAAATATGAGTATCAAACAAATGAAAGACACGCAAGCACACAAAACCATTATTACGATACAGAAGCTCCCAATTCACTGAGCAGCACTTATTAGCACACTCATAAACCTTTCTCCCCAAGTTCCCATAATTATATTGTAAAACCTTACTACTCATTTATCTTACAACATCATCTCCGTAGATTGAACTGAAAGACATAATACCATTAAGTTACAGAAGGTCCCAATTCACTAAGCAACATGTCACTAACTCATTCACAAATTAAGTTACAGAAGGTCCCAATTCGCTAAGCAACACGTCACTATTTCAT